CTGAACCCAAACTTTTCCATAAAAATTCCCCATCCAAAGCTTTTCCCAACTTTCCCCCCACATCCCCACCCCACATTCCACGGATCCTCCGGAATTCCTGGCTCACCTCAGGCTGCAGACCAGCTCCTGGAATTTGGGCCTTTCCCCGGGATCGTAATCCCAGCAGCGCGTCATGAGGGTGTAGAGGACGGGCGGGCACAGGTCGGGCTTGGGAAGCCGATCCCCCTTTTCCAGGACTCCGATCACATCCTTGTTTTCCAGCCAGAAGAACGGCTGCTTCCCGTAGCTCAGGATCTCCCACATGCACACGGCTGCGGGAGCAACCGGGAAAACCTCAAATCGTGGGAATTCCCAGGAATCAGGGGAAAAAAAAAAAATTTAAAAAATCGGGAAAAAACCTTTCCTGGGGTTTTATGTGGAGGGGGGATGGGGATGTGGTTTTGTTTTATGGAATTCCTGATTCCCGAGTGGGAGCAGCAGAGGGGGTGGAGATTGGGATTTTAGGGATGGGATGGGGATGGAGATTTGGAGTGGGGAGAGTTTAACTCGTCCCAAAATTTCCCAAAAATCCTGGGATGAAGAGGAGGAAGTGCCTAAGGATGGGTGGATGGAAGCCCTTCCCTGGGATGGTTTCTCCAAGGGAAAATCGGGATAATCTGGCATTCCAGAGCGGGATTTGTCCTCGTACATGGGAAATGGATCAGATCTGGGATTCTGCTCCACACCACAGGAAGTGGATCTATCCCAGGATCCCATTCTGAATCCCAGGATCCCATTCTGAATCCCAGGATCCCATCCCACCCCACCCCACAGGAATTGGATCAATCCCAGGATCCCATTCTGAATCCCAGGATCACACCCTCCACCAGAGGAAATGGATCAATCCCAGGATCCCACTCCATGCCGTGGGAATTGGATCAATCCCAAGATCCCATTCTGAATCCCAGGATCTCAATTCACACCAAGGGACACGGATCAACCCCAGGATCTCAATCCACACCACAGGAAGTGGATCTATCCCAGGATCCCACTCCACACCATTGGAATTGGGTCAATCCAAGGATCCCAATCTATGCCACGAGAATCAGGTCAATCCTGGGATCCCACCCCATGCCATGGGAATTGGATCAATCCCAGAATTGTGCTCCATGCCACAGGAAGTGGATGAATCCCAAGATCTCAATCCACACTATGGGAAGCAGATCAATCCCAGGATCCCATTTGGAATCCCAGGATCCCACCCCACACCACAGGAAGTGGATCAATCCCAGGATCCCGCTCCATGCCATGGGAAAGAGGTGAAACCCAGGATCCCACCCCACACTCTGGGAAGCAGATCAATCCCAGGATCCCAATCCATGCCTTGGGAAACCGGTGAATCCCAAGATTCCATTCCACAGCACAGGAATTGGATCAATCCCAGGATCCCATTCTGAATCCCAGGATCCCATCCCACCCCACAGGAACGGGATCAATCCCGGGATCCCATCCCACCCCATGGGAACGGGATCAATCCCAGGATCCCATTCTGAATCCCAGGATCCTGCTCCATGCCATGGGAACGGGATCAATCCCAGGATCCCATCCCACCCCACAGGAACTGGATCAATCCCAGGATCCCATTCTGAATCCCAGGATCCCATCCCACCCCACAGGAATTGGATCAATCCCAGGATCCCATTCTGAATCACAGGGTCCCATTCTGAATCCCGGGATCCCATTCTGAATCCCAGGATCCCATCCCACCCCACAGGAATTAGATCAATCCCAGGATCCCACCCCACCCCACCCCACAGGAATGGGATCAATCCCAGGAACCCACCCCACAGGAATTGGATCAATCCCGGGTTCCCATCCCACCCCACGGGAACGGGATCAATCCCAGGATCCCACCCCACCCCACGGGAACGGGATCAATCCCGGGATCCCATCCCACCCCACGGGAACGGGATCAATCCCGGGATCCCATCCCACCCCACGGGAACGGG